CGCCTCAACAATACAATTTTTAATTAAAACGAACTTTTCAAATTGCAAATGGAACATTACTTTCAGGGTGAAAAGTACGACGGCCGGAAAGCGGACGTGTGGTCATGTGGCGTCATATTGTACGCTCTTCTGGTCGGAGCTCTGCCTTTTGACGACGACAATTTGAGGCAATTACTTGAAAAAGTCAAGCGAGGAGTGTTTCATATACCGCATTTCGTGCCCCCCGACTGTCAGAGCCTATTGCGAGGCATGATTGAGGTCCATCCGGAAAAAAGGCTAACGGTAAGTTGATGACCCAAACGCAAAATGTCCTTCGACTCGGAACTGGTTTATCTCGTAATTTGCAAACGTTTTGGCACAGCTGAATAACAGCCTTTCATTGCTCCATTCCTGAATGTGCTATTCCTTATGGCATTTGTTAATAAAATAGGTCGCAAACTTCTTATTATCCTCACTAGCTGTATCTCCTAGTTACAGCAACGAGGTCCTATTGACGTAAAATTAACTATCCCAATGCACAAACTAGGCCGACGAGATAACAACGTTCATGCCTTCATGATGGCATTCACGTATGGAGCCAGTTATACTTTCCACGATATGGCTCTAAAAGAGAACGACGTTAATTTAACTTTATATTCGTTTTATCCGGCAGATGCGACAGTTTTTATGTAAATATCCTCTACGAAACTGGAATGCTTGATTTTGGGTTTTCAGCTGTGCGACATCAACAAACACCCATGGGTGACTGCTGGTGGAAAAGGTGAGCTTGAACTAGAACAGCCCATGATGGAAGTGGTCCAAACCCACGTGTTGCCGTCCATTGAAGCCGTGGATCCAGACGTTTTGCAAGCCATTTGCAGTTTAGGTTGTTTCAAAGAGAAAGAGAAACTAATCCAGCACTTGCTCAGTCCCAGGTAAATTTTATGTTCATCCTCCATCCAGTTCGTTTATATGCAATGCAATGTTCCAGCCATAACACTGAAAAAGTGATCTACTTTCTGCTACTGGAGCGGAAGCGCAGGCGGCCAGCTTTTGAGGATGACACTGACTCAGTGCTAAGGATACGTCCGAATGAGTCAGTGGATCCGCCCAAGAAGCGCATCGATACCTGCCGAGTCAATGGCCAGTCTACTTTGCAGTTTGGGCAGATTAGTGAGGGATCGCCATTAACGCCTCGAAGATCTCATTACAAGTAATATGTTCCTCCAATATTCTACATCAACTCTTCAACTGTCTTTTATTAGGCGCCATCATGCCCGAAGGAGTCCATCCACTGGCAGTACTCATAGTAATCTTAGCATTCATTCACCTACCAGATCATCGGGCGCTTCAAGTCCAGTCATGTTCAACAGTATTCCTTCAAACACTCACTGTAAGTATCATATGGTATCTGCACTTGAGCTGAGATTGTCCGAGGGTGGCCATCATCACTGCAGTTTTCTTTGTATTCTTCTTCAAACAGAACTGCGTTCAACGATTTCGCCCTGGTTTATGAGTTTCASGACCTCTCAAGATGTGTCYGAAATACTGCAGTTTTCYCATTTACACTTCATGCAGGATCTCACATCTTGAATGCTTCCAACTTCCGCTCGCATTACACGTGCAGGTGCCAMGCTTCTACACCTTACAGAACCGGAAATATATAAGTTTCGAGCATCCCAGTTCTTAGCTACAGAGCTTGATCTCGATGAARAATGCGGGGGTTTCACATGCTCGAATCCTTATTTCTGAACAAAAGCCAGGTGAACTGGAGGATGAACAGTAGACAAAGGTCTTTTGCGAAAAATCAGGCCACCCTGTACATCAGACACTATTTTTTAAATGTTGCCTGTTAGCGTTGTAGTTACAGCGATAGTAGTAATATTTTTAGCTGGAATGTCATCGCCAGTGAGCCAACGTACGACACCGTCCTCCCATCTATCGACTCCTCTTACACCTGCACATAGAGCATCAGCTCACGTGCCCTCAACTACTCAGGTGACTGTAACTCCTCCGCCCTCTACCCCCACGCATCACCGGGCGAACAGTAGTGGGGGTACCACTGTCTCCCTTACATCACCCGAAAGTGATACTAGTAGTTTAGTTACAGGTACTTAGTTTTTCAAAAACTCGCGCTCCCAGTACTGAGAAGTTCTTCTCCTAGGTTCTAATATTCTAACCCCGATGACTCCGCCCGGCTCGCCACACCTAAGCACGACAAGTCACCATTGGAGGTCCAGATTGACGACCATTAAAAATAGCTTTTTAGGATCGCCTAGATTCCACAGAAGGAAAATGCAAAGTAAGCCACTTGGTGAACGACTATTCAGGAACAAGCGCGAGCTGAGTTATTTTATTCTGTAGCTTCATCGGAAGAAGTCCATCTGACACCGGAGTCATCGCCGGAACTGACCAAGAAGTCCTGGTTTGGCAGTTTGATGACGACCGAAAAAGATGAAACGTTCACTATATTAGTGCAAGGAAAACCGCTCGCCACAGTAAAAGCTGACCTGATACACGCCTTTCTATCGGTAAGCAGTTTGAATAAAATCACATGTTGGTTGCTGACGGAAACCATTTATTCTAGATAGCTGAACTAAGTCATTCAGTATCCAGTCCAATGTCATTTAGAGTAGAATACAAAAGGGGCACAACGGGACCAGCCATGTTCCAAAGACATGTCCGATTTCAAGTGGATATTTCCATTCTAACGAAGCAGCAGGAAAACCCTAAGGAATATTTGTATGCAATCACCTTCAATTTGCTGTCAGGTGAGAGCTTTTGCTGGCGGCAAGCAGAGCGGAAAGAAGGTGAATGGGGATGTTTGGCTTTTATAGGTAATATAAGGCGGTTCAGACGAGTGTGCGAACACATTCAGACTCAAGTATGCACGAGAAGACCTCCGCCCAGTCCCAGAGCTCAAAGAAAATTCACAACGGAGCTCAGTGAGAGTTCCAGCTGTGGATCGGATTCCAGCGAGTTGTATTTGAACACTAGACAAGTAAGTATTTGAGACAATCTTGCACTTCTTCTAAGCATATCCATACCTAAGTATACCTTGAAATTTAAGTCCGACTTAAGTTTCAATGAGTTGCACCATACGTTTTTCACGTGTTCTTAGCTAAGCTTCAGGCAATAACCGGCAACTCTGTATTTTTCGTTCTGTTCTGCATGTCTGTGTTGTTTCTAACCGAAATTCGAGACCTTTTTAAAAATTTGTTTCACTCATGGCTGCAAAACAGAAAGGGTCTCCTAATTTTGGCGCTTCTGAAAGAGATACTCTTTTAGAGCTCGTTGCGTTTCATAAAGATCACCGAAAATAAAAAATATAATAATAAAAATAATAACAATAAAAAAACCAGATGCTGTGTCTTCGCAAGAAAAGCAGTCAACATGGTAGAAAATGTCGGGCCAATTTAATGCTGTTTGTTAAAACAATTAATAATTAATTTTTAAACAACAATTCCTCCTACGACCCCAATAATCAGGAAATTCTACAATAACCAAAAAGAAGACATCCGGAAGCACATTTCCAATCAGAATAAAAAACTTTATAAAACTGATGGCGGAGGAGTTGTGCCGTGCCTTCGGTTCCCAGGGGCAATGCAGATAAAATATTATTATCTATTGTAAATAATAACACCTTGTATGGCGTGAATCAATCACTTGCTGCTTTGATGGTGATTGGGTACAGCCAAATGAAACTCCGCCGTCTCTCATTTTCCCAATTAGTCAGAAAGGGCGTTAATGAAACGTTGAAATTCAAAATTCATGATGTACGTAGGTACTTATTTTTTGAAAATAGGACATTATGATTACACAATTCATATACGTATGCTGTATATTTGACTAACTAGCGACTAAAGTGAGGTTGGAAGAAGGCTAAGTCATGCTTAAGTACTCGAGAACGAGTCCTTAAATTTAAGATTTTCAAAGACGTACTAAGATCGTGTCATCGGTTGATGCAATCCATTTTTGCAGGTAGGCTCGAACTTAACGCTAAGCATAACCTTAAGTCTTTCTTAAATGTTTGGTGCAATTGGGCAAGATGCCTGTCACTCATTTAGAACTTAAGTTAAGTACTGTCAAAACTGCTCAACTTCACATTATAACCGCACTTCACAACATCAGCTTTCGTTGCTTGCAAGATTATTTTGATAACATACGTTTTCAGGTGAAAAGTTAATGGAGCTTTTTATTCTGCGCCAATCTTTAAATGGTTTTCTATGCTTGTTTTTACCGAACCAACTTTAATCGTTGCTTACAAATTCAGCAAATACTGTAATACACTTTAAGTTTTGAGGAACACAACATAAAAACTAACCACAAATGGGCTTGGATGCGTGGTTGCCGTTGTAATTTTCGATTAGTAATAAATTGTGCTATTCTTAGGTAAACGTTCTACAAATGGAGAACAGCGACCTGGAGAGTGAATGTAGCGTGTTTGATGTTCGGACAGCGTCTCGTGACGTGTCCCGACGCGCTTCCACTAACAACAATACGGAAACGATGGAACAAAACCCGCCCGGTACCCCTAAAGCTGTTCGTTCCAACTCAGAAAATACGGATTCCTGTGAGAAAACCTGCATCACCACCATGTCCGGTAGTTCCATTGCGTAATATTGGATAGTTCTCGGCAGTAGAGTATGGAAAAACGTTCAATTTTGGCTTGATCTATTTAGTTGTTGGTACAGTATGGTGTTTAGACGATTAGCGCGAAGAATTTCCTATGGCTGGTACGACTACTTCAAAACGTTATGAATTGCAGACTGGCCAAGCATTGTCTGTTCGCTTAGATCCTAAGCATAAAGGCAGTTCAAGATATTACCCAATATTGGCGATTTTTAGCATAGCAACTTCGTATTTACCTGTCTCTAATTTAATAGTTAAAATTGTTTAAAATGCATTGCGTTTACTTATTAACTGCTATTTAAATATTATATTTGTTGTTACTTTACGATGCCCTGTATATACTAGGCAAACTCGCCTGAATGTTTGATCCTAGAAGCTAAATAAAATAATCAAAATGTTCAAAATGCATGGGCCTTTGAGGAATCATCCGCTCTTTGTATGGGAACCGCAACAAAGTGCAATATTCATTCAAAAACTGGCTGGCCAGTTTTGGATCTGATCTAAAGTGTTCAGTTACACGTCCGGTTTAGTGCTATTTTTTTTAACTCAACCCTCAGCCCCTCCATTAGAACTGTAGACTGTTCTTTTACGCGACGCGTAGCTTTGCATAGCCCCCGTTTGCAGCCGACAGAAAATTGTTTAAAAACTATTTTTGGTAATAATAATAATATAACTAGAAGTAAACGTTTACAAACTAAAACACCAAGCATAGTATTATGTATAAAGAATAGCGCTAGATTACATTTAAGGCATAATCAGTGAGGTTGAAATAAAGTACATTCTAATTCAGAGAAAAGCTGTCCTTAAATTTAGGTTGCGGCAAACCAAATTAACAAGCTGGTTTAATTCAAAACCTGCAAATTTTAATTCTTTAGTTGCAGAAAAATGGCTTTCCATTCTGTATGTTTTTAGTTCAAAAGTCATTTAGTTGCGCTTTTTACAAACGCGTTTTGACTCTGCTTGAACGGCAGGAGAAAGGATTAATTTAGAATATGAAAGTTGGATAGGAATCACCCTTGAGAGTTTGAGATAGTGGATATTCACCAAGCATCAAGTTGAAAACTTTCGCTTCAGGTCACGCAAAGAATCTAGTCGAAAAACACATGTTTTGCAATGTTTCAACTACTGATACCTACGTTTTCCGGAAGTTTTATTAATTTTTAATGCACATTTGGGCTACCAACAACTGGTTGAACAGTGGTGGGCTATTTATCTAATTATATATATAAACCCCATGACCCTACCAGTAAATGTAATAGGCTTTATGTAAATATGCAAGAAGTGTGCTTATGTACTTTGACTTGTTCTATTTCAATGTAAGTGTCCGAAATTATCTAATTCGTATTATCGTACTGTTATGGAACTTTATTTGGATTATACGTAAGAAGGATCCCATCCGAGTCTAGGGAAAACCATGTTATTAGATAGGAAAAAAATTATAATTGTGTATATAGTGTGTCTCACTGGAAACAAACTGCAACCTCACCTCTGAATAAATTTATATTTCATTAGCGTTGCTAGTGAGACACCTTATACATAATAAGTATAATACTGGATAAAACAACTTTTACATTTTCTTACACGAAAACAGGTCTTTCCACCCTGGTATTATTTATACACCTTTCATAAATAGTTCGAATCAGATTTTCCTGCAATTGTTCAATATTTTAGCTTCGAAAATGTTAAAGTTGCCTTGCCAATATTATAACTAATAAACTTACACTTGTAAATGAAATATATCAGTTTAAAATCTAGCTCATTGGTCATTCATATCTGCTTAGGATGACAACCGACTGAAGATAAGCACATCCAATATTCACTGTTCCATGTGTTTGAAGCCTTGAAACTTGAAGATTTTATTGAATTTTTCATAACTTCAATAGCAAGTGCTTATCCGCAGAAGGATCTGAATCATCATTAAAAACATCGTGTAAACATATCATTCGAGCAGCATCATGTTTTGTAACAAAGCCTTTCTTCTCTATTTTACGCCTATTTTGTTGTAAATCCAGTGGCGTATGTAAGATCAGGGACTTTTTGGCCAGTTTACCAACCCTCAAAGTTTCAAAATTGCTCTTGGTGAGATTTTCTACCATTCGGCCACTGAACAAGTTATGTGCAGTTAATATGTTGTAGTAGAAATTAAGCTATAATTAACAGCTATACAAAATCGCTAAATCTGCAAGTAAAGACCAAAAAAAAATGATCGAGCCGATTTAATGAAGAAAAACGAAAAAGCTATTAACTGCATGTAAGAAGACGAATCGGATATATTTACGCAATTACCCGATTACTAATCAATAGTTATTTAGTGATTCCAGTGTAAGATAAACCACATTTGTTTATATTTTAGCTATAACAAATATTTTACACTTAATCGTTGTCGTTATATTTCAGGCTTGAGTTATATTATTAATTTATCTTATGTGTAAGTGCTTGTAAATAATATTGTGATAATAATAAATCAATTTGCACAATTACCAATGCATTTTATTTTGTCCTTTACAAAAGGAACATCAGATGAGATCCTTTCGATGTCTATTTACAGACTACTAAAACCAGCTGATTATTGAAAATAGAAATAGCACGGTGGCCAGTATTGTATAGTTTGTTACTTTACTAAAGACTGAAGTTTCTAAGCAAAAATATTACGACGAAGCTTTAAGTGAATTTTCTTTAAAAAATCGGTTTCAACTGCAGTTGACAAAGGTTGATGATTAAATACGTTTCACCTGTCTTTAAAGGGATTGTATTACCCGTACAACTGTTGTGCTTGACAATTAAAAGAACAGGTGAACTTATGTGATATCAATTTCATGGCAAAATAATCCCCTTGTCTGGTCGTTTAGTTTTCAAAAAGATTGTAGTTCAGAAAACGGAATTTTATGTACATTTGCTGCAGTAAAGACAGCATTTAAGAGTGATTTATGTATATTTCAAATGGAAGAGTTTCACTACATATTCAAACAAATTGCGGTCTTAGGAGGACGGTTTGATTCATAATTAAGATTTTCGCACAAAGTATTAAAAATCACTTCTATTCTATATTATTTTGTAATAATTCAATTGCATATTTCTGTAAAAAGTGTAGTTAAAATGCCTGGAAGTAAAAGAACAATTTCAGATGCGAATGAAAAACACTCAAAAATTGAAAAATCAAAAAGCCTACAAGAATGCAATTTCTCTCTACACACTCAATTTGCTGGCTTAAATTGGCCCAAAATTTAATGTTATTTTACTTTTAAACTGTTGCATTGCCGATGATCAATTTTCAAACAAATATTATTGTATTTTAGACCCATTTTCACTAGATATTTTCTGTTGATTGACCGGGGATAGTTTTTTTCAAGTAATCATAAGTTTTTTTCAAGCCACGCAAATCTGATAAATAATAGGATAAAATCTGATCTTCCGATGGTTAATTGTTTCGCAAGAAATTCCTTCATTGAACCCAAATGATGAGCACTAAATGACCAGTAGTTTTGATAAAAAAAAAATATTCGAATCTCGGAATGGAGCGAATGCTTGAAACTTAGGGATTTTCGATAAAGTGCAGTGAAACTTTCGCACCTCTTTCAGCCAAAGAGTGCATCTTCCTTACTTATAATCGGTTGAAGTTAAAAATATTACTTTTAGTCAATTTTTAGGTGCAATAATCCAAATCAAAGTGGGTAACTACCCAACGTTTCTACAAGAATAATGGCACTAGAAACTGTTTCAATAATATCGCGTTATAAACCAAAAAAATTGAAAAAAATATTCTGAAAAATGCAGATATTTAAAGAATTTTGATAAAACCACTTCAGGGGAAAAGTCAACAAAAACCAGCCTTGGTATGAACAATAAAATGGTTAAGTAAAAGTAGCATTCGCTTAAAAATAAATTGCTCGAATAACCACCCCTAAAAACAGGTGCAATTCGATCCCCAAGCCACCCCAAAGCCCTTGGCAAAGTAACCCTAACATTGAATGATATAATAAGCGGCTGTTGTAGTCACGAGCATCGCAAGCTTTTGGTGTACGATGTTATGGTCCGGTTAATGCCGGTGCTGAATGTTTGTATCGAAAAACACCCATAATTTTCAGGGAATTCATGCAGTTTCAGTTCAGATACGGTGCTGTCTGTTTGCAAAATGTGCGAATCCCAATTTGTCCCCGTAACAAATTGCTAAATTTAAACGGCGCGTCTTAAAATCCAAGCAGAGCTTTATCGAAGAGATGATTTTGCAGCCCAACAATGTGGAGCTTACGAAAATACACTATTACGATCAGAGTAAAAGGTAAGTAAGTAGTCGATTTGTTAAAATATAAACTGATAAGAACCATTCAATGATCTGGTAATTTTTTGCTCCGTTCAGGTCGCAAAACATGTCGGTTTCGACGATATCGCGAGAAATGTATCAAAATGGATTTAATAAAAATGTGATGATAAAACGGGACATGTTCGGTCACAAATGGATCTTGAAGATCAACGAACAGAAGAGCCAAGACCCCAAAAAGAAAAACCGGCTAAAACTGATGCTGCTTATTTACGTTTCAGTTTTCTTCAGTACAATTTTAGCTTTGTGTTGTGGAATCATATTTTCCCTTGGTGAGTAAACAAAATATAAAATTTTGTCAAAAACAGCCTAATTAAAATTGGTATAATGTTTTTAAACGTTTAAATGATTTTGACTAACAAAGTATAATAAATTAATAAAAAAGATAATCAATTAAAAACCTTCAGAAACAAGCCAGCATTGATGTTTATTCTAAAATTGTCATTGCAAAACTTCGCTTTTTGCGAAAAGTATACTACTTTAAAGATTAATTCACCGTGAACCATTTGAAAAATAAGCAAGTTGATAAACAAGAAAAATTACAATAAAAAATTGTTATTGCCTTGTAACGCATTGATTTGAATGAATTTATTTATACTTGAGTGCACATGAATTATTAGTCAAGGTGAAGTCGAGTGGAGAATTATGGATTTCTATAAATTCACTTAGCCTAAACCTTAATTAGATTTTAATAATCCGCTTTTCCAACCAAATTTCATATGTTTTAGATTACAACATATTTCGACCGGAAAACAAAAACACTCCGCATGCAAACATCAATAACACAACAGTAAAAAGCTCAAACATGCTGTTGGGTAACAACAATCAAATGAACGAAACTAAAACTGACTATATAACTAAAGCAACCGATAAAGAAAGCAATTCAAGTATTAACTCAATCAGTAGCCGAGAAGACTCAAAGGTATAACCAGAAAATAAATTCAAATTGCAATGATAAAGTGGAGACTTTTTCAGGAATTGATCAGGCCATATTGCGTAAATTGCACGGAAGATGAGGTTTGTATAAAAACAGCAGAAACGAAAAAACCAACATGCCTTCCAATGACTGATAAAAGGGACACGACAGGTACATTTAAATAAGCTAGTCATTCAAAAATGGCAAACTTTTATTACAACGCAGGTTGTGGTGGTTTGTGTAAAATCAATGAGGAATACTGTAAACTGCTCGACAAGACCATCAAAGTATATCAGTGCTTAGCATTGAATAATCGCTTGAAATGCCCTGAAAATACATTCAATTGCGGAAACATGTGCGTATCTATGGACAAACGCTGCAACGGCCAAATTGATTGCGCCAACATGATGGACGAAAAAAATTGCGGTAATAAACCATGATTAGCTGCAATGTAACTTTCATGCACATAATCAAGTTTGTGTTTTAGTGTGTGAGTTGGAAACTCACTTCCAATGTGGAAACCAAACTTCTTGCCTAGATAAAGTGAAATTATGCAATGGCAAAGTGGATTGTTGGGACAAATCAGATGAAGTACAATGCCAAAAAGGTATGATAATGATGCCTTAAAACAATTAAATAATTGATTCAAGCTTCAGCTGGATTTTTCGTGTAAAATGTATAGAGAGTTGAGTTACTGATACTTTCAACCAAATAATACATGATGGTAACAAAATGTGTCCGAATCGCTTTAGAAACCGGCGAAAAAGAGTAGGCTTCTTAAATGCCTCAAGCGACAAAGTTTATGAATTGAAAAATTCACCAATTTCTTTAGAAAAAAAATGGAAAGTCAGTAGAGTATCAGAAAACACATTCTTGTATTTTCTTCCTAAATTGGGAACAGGAAAAACTACAATACCACAATAATTTTGGGCAAAGGCAAATGTTTCTTAAAAATTCCACCTACCATTCAACTGCGTATTTCTATATCCAAATCCATTTCTACAGCTTGAAAGTCCTCAAAGCCTTGAAGAAAACTTCAAAATTGTTGGTAAACTTCCAATATTCCACCGTAATGTCAAAAATGTCGTGTTTGCTAGTGCGAATGTCAATATGTCAACTTGAACACTTAGAAACATTCCACTTTAAAAAATAGCATTTTTTGTTCTAAAATCGCACTTTTGATGGGGAAAGTACGACAAAACGGTAAGGAAAAACTTCTTCTCTTATAACATTGGTAATTTTCCGCACAAAAACCAAAATTTTCTGAATTTTTTTGATATTTTAACGGAGCGAATCGCACAGTCAACCATAACGCAACATACGACTTCGACCAAATAATCCGAGAATCAACGAACATTTGACAATTGATAACTCGGTACCTATGACGAATTGGACGTATGTTCACAATACTTTTTTGCTTAAAATTTACTCAGAAGTTGCCGATTTAAATTTACATCACATATAACACTCTGTGTAATAAGGATACAACAAAAATTAATATAAAAAATTATTGACTTACTTTATTAAAACCCCGATTTTTATTTCAGATGTATTTTGTCAAAAAAACCATGTACCATGTTCAAATGGGCAGTGTATTCCAAAGGAAAAAATGTGCGACAGTGTTTTCGACTGCGTGGACAAAACCGATGAGCCGTTCTGGTGCCAACAAATTAGAAATACTTAAAAATATTTTTTTAAAGACGACTGAAAAATATATAAATACCTATAAAAACACTGTTAATTGGGAAATAAACCACAGTAGTTTATATGGCGACAATAGAGAGAAACCCCTGCCGATAGTTTAAAATACATGGTCTTTATTCGAAAAGTTAAAATGCAGATTATAATATAAGTATCACAAAAGTCGAAACAAATAAAACTTAATTTTACTTAATGATGGGATTAAAATAACATTACAAATCTGAACAAAAATCAGACAGGAAATTTAAAAGAAAAACGAACTTTTCCTTACCCTCGCCGCTGCTGAAACTTACAAGCGTCTTAAGGAAATGTGAGTAACTATTCAAAGTCCCCTAAAAAACACATTGCGAACATAAAACCTGGACACACACACAAGTAAAGCCATGAACTTACCGCATCCCAATCCTTATTGTAAAATCCTGTGCATTGAGATTCTAAATCATCCAGATCAACAAATTTGTTATTTAACAAAGAAGACACAAGTCTAGCATATAAACTCCAGGATTCTTCGGTGTTTTTCGAACCTTGTAGAATGTGGACGTTTCGAGGAGCCAACAGAGTTTTGAAACTTACGGCAGATTTGGGGTGTAGAGCCCAAATTCGTGTGAATTCAGCCAGCAAGTCCTTTTGAGCAAATATCGACGGATATTTGGCCACTAAAGCATTTTTAATTATTTATCTAGTTTGAGCGCAACATGCTGTATGTAACCCTTACCCAATAATATATAGAAATCGAGCAGAATTGCACATAAAGTCACGATTAAATTGTCGTTCAAGTCGTTTCTTTGAGTCAGAGATTCATAAGTATCGTTTAAAAGTTTCGCAACCAATTTTGCCGTTATGTCGCAGTTTTCCATTACTTTGCAACAATATTCCTAAAATAAAGACTGAAAGTTTTTTTTAATTTCGTGATGGATTAGAAACTTACTCTGAGGTTGTTTACAGTGTGAAATCCACTAATAGCAGTTTCGTTATGCGAACAATCTCTACCTCCCTGGGGCAACAAAAATGATGATTTCTCTTTATCTTTGCGTCGTCCACTTAAAAACATCTAGGAACAGATCGGAATAGAGAATTATTTAACACATTTATCAAGTGAAACAGAATTTCGAAAATGTAGACTCAATAACCCAAATATTAACGTAATTTTTAGTTTAACGCGATTCTGGAAAACTGGATCTGGGGCTCAAACATGACGCCGCCCATTTGGTTATATCTCGAACGATTTGAAGAGAGATTGGATGGAAAAATAAAAACTCATTTGCCAAGTGGGAAATAGTCACTTTTCACGCGAAATCGAAATTTAAATAGTACAAAAGGAAGGTACATGATAAGGCCTGACTGAATCTTTTTCCGCGACGTTGCGTTTGAACGCGAAAGATGAGTAAAAAATACATTAATCAAGTAAAATAGCGCTTGCAAAATTTAATAATTATTGTGGCAACAAATCATTTTCTTTCACTATATCAAAATATGTAATTTTTTATATCTAAAAGTGTCCTTTTCGGGTTCAATTTTCAAATGGTTTTACTCCAATTTACCTTTAAAATATCGGATTCAAAATCCTTAGTAAACAGCGCCAAACTAACATGCCCAACCATCCATTGCTTCACTCGTTCTGTGCACATTTTTTTTGTAACTGTTACACAAATCTGCTTAGTGCCTTCCAAAGCATCCACGGGTAGTAACCCGTCCAGCGATTTGGCGATTTTAATGTCCATCAATTTCTGCGCTTCCTGATCGCAATTTGGCAATAACTTGCTTAAATGCTTTTGCGCTACTGGAATCACTTGAGCTTGCCAGACTTTCTACAAAAACGTATCATAGCAGCCAAAATCAGGCGTAAAAATTGTCCAAACTACCTTTGTTTGTGCGTGATCACTATGTGCTTCAGTAGTTTTAACTGAATTCAAATAGTCTTTCCACTCCGTATTTGCTTCGGCTTTAGCCAAAGGAACTAGCTCTTGGCAAATAAACTTAATAGCAGTTGAAGCTACTCTTTCGCTTACAAATTCAACAGTTCTCTTCAACGACGATGGTTGGCCACTGAAGAAAGCATCTTCTAATTGTTGCTGAAACAAATAAAGAATCAATTGATGAACAAGATTTTCGGTGGACAGAACCAACCTCCAGTTTTTTCCTGGACGTTTCTGTATCCGACGCCACAGCAGTCACTGGAGTAATATATTTTACAGCAATTTTACTCCCAGGCGCGTTACTAGCGAGAATTTTCTTCATTTCATCCAAATAGGGGCAGCACAGATACAGCAACCTTCTGTTCATAATTCCCATGCAATCTAGACATTTGCCGGTTGCACTTTTGCCGTTGCTCAAGTTCTGCACGCCTGCAGGTATCTCAGAGCAAAACTGTAAGTATTCAGTGGCAGGAAAATGGGGCATCTCAAACAGCCAGCCCAGGCAGAACTTCACCACAGCAACATTACAGTGTGGTGTTTCTGAACCTTCACAGTTCTGATACAGGCGAAAAAGCCGCACATTTAAAGCCTTGTAGTAGGGCAGGCGAAGCGTTACATAATCGAGCATTGCCAGATACTTTGTGAGCCATGGAACGATCAAAACTACCGTGCGTTTTTCAATTGCAGATTCCAAAAGGGACTTTACGTCTAAAGCTGGCCTGATCTAGAATGAGGTTTGTCAGGGAATGTGTTTAATTTACCAGCAGATTCGTGGTACCTGTTGTCTGATCTCAATCTGAGCTTCAACCAAGCTTCTTGACAGTTTGCGAGCATCTGCTTTGTACGGCAGAGTCTCAAGATAGCCCAAAAACTTTGCCAAAACTCGTAAGTTTCTGATACAGTTTGCGTATAAATTTCTTGCATTTACATCCACTTCATTTCCTGTAGAAAAGTTTAAATATTTGCTTGCAAAAGCGAGAGTTTGGTCCAAGTCTACATATATTGATTTTGTCGTTTCGTTCGATAATTTATATATTTAATTAAATTAATTCAAAACTATGATACGAAATGCATTGGCAGGTACCTTCTTCGTCTAGTCCCACCCCAGAAAAGTCGGTACCATTCAACTCCAAAATCCCAAAAATCAAGCAATCCCGCAGATGCATCCCAAATTGACACTTCACAGAAAAATCCATAAACTCCTTGAAAAAATCCTGATACCCTGTAAATGTTGGTAACGCATTAATCCCATTTGTCGCTTGCTTAGTGACTAATCGGTTCGTCAGACGATTTAACTTGTCTGCATCGATTCTCAATGAAGAAATGAACGCAACACCGTTCTCAGATAAGCCCTTTTCCTTAAAAAAAATTGATAAACGAGCTTAATTTTATTGAGAAACTGGACTTACTTTTGGGCCTTTAGCACAACTGCTCAACAATTGGTTCTTAAACAACCTGGCCAAATGCATTAAGTTTGCAGATCCATTGTGTAGCCCGAACAATGCGTTAATTTTCCCGCCAAGCCCATTAGCAAAATTCCAGTCAGCCGTCAAGTGATGGATTTCCCAAATTCGAAGTATTTCGTAGAACAAATCGCGCTGCTTTCGAAACGCATGGAAACTGATTTGATCTGGGAAGATTGCCTGATTATCTGTATCAATATTGAAGCATACGTTCGTCTGGGAATCCTCCGAGGTACTTTCAGTGTAGGAACTTTCGGAGTTTTCTTCCGCGTATGTAATTAGCTTTTGGGCAAAATCTGGCGCAAACTCCTTAACTCGGTCATTCTCAGCTAGTAATCTAATGGTTGCTTTATCATAAAGCTGAATTACTTTAGTTTGCGTTTCCAAAGCTGTTATTGCAAAGTAAACCAGATTGTGTACTGACTCGAAAATTTGCGAATTGTATATGAATAATTTATCACTGCTAGTGTTTCCTATGTGTTTAAAGCAATCGTCATTGGAATCCAATGGATTAACTCCCAGATTAAGATCGTCCAATTCACTGTTCTTTGTTACTCTTGAATTATTTGCTTCGCAAAACTTACTTTGATCCTGCTGCTTAATTAAAAATAGCGAGATAAGAAAGTAGATTTCACTGGTAATATTCAACGTTAACTGGTGATCTAAGACGGTTTTATAAATATCAATCACATTATCCAAGTGAGACTTATAAGTAACTAATTCCAATATGGGAGTTTCCACTTTAGAAGGGCTGCACTGTCTTTTGTGCAATGCAGGGCGGCAATAATTCGCTTCAAAACTTTCCCTGCGAAGCACAATGTTTGCCTTTTCTTCAGCAAGTACTGCTCTTTGTTCCGTTGCAGTTCCAGCTGCAAGTTCCTGAGAACTATTTTCAAAGCTAAAACTGTTGCCATTCTTCTGAAAAGCATCTTTGTTACTCTCCCTCGGGCAGATGTTTGTCGGCTTTATTCGACGGGACGCTTCGCTTCCCCGGTTTTCAACTACCTCACTTTTTTTTTTCTTTTTTGAGGAACTTTTCGGGGTTTTCACTCGAAAATCTTCGAGCGAAAATTTGTATCTATCTTGCGTCGTTCGGTCAGTGAAGCTACTATTATTTTTCCTTGAGGCAGAAAGTGGAGAAATTGGACTAAAAGTGTTCTTATTCTTCGAAGTACTTATGTGGTTCCCATTTTGGTAATCAGAGTTGCTGTTGGTGCCTGGGGTCTGCCTCTGAGCATGATGGGGAGGAAATAAGGCAGTTTTAAAAGGCCGAGTGGAATCTGGAGTTCCATATGAGGCTTTTTTTTCAGCTGTTTTTGGATTGTGCAGTTTCTGAGGAGTCGCTGACAGTGCACTATCACTATAATCAGGAGAGTGATAGAAAATGTAATCAAAGACAGTTGCTCAACTTACCTAGGCGCTTGATCGTGCACAAAATTTAGAAAACAAGTTACGAAACGCAACTGGCTCACTTTGGTGTCCTCAATCTCTTTAAACTCCTCTTGTCCCTATAAAATAAGCAGTTGCTGAGTTCAATTGTTGGGGTAAAATCAAGCGATTTACCTCGGGTTCAGTATGTAACAGCCACTTGCTCAACACTTCCGAAGATATTTGACCGTTTACAAGCTTATTTAATAGAAGGTCTGCCATAACATCCGATCAAACTGGAGTTATTGGTTTTTTAAATGGCACATAAATTCAAAACAAACGTCCCAAGGTTGAACTACTCCACACTACCTAACCTGACTTTATTTAGCATGTCGTTGATGGGTAATCAGAAGAACTACTAGGAGACATCGATGCCGTTTCTTGATATTATGAACATTAATTTCTATAGATTTATTTAATTTTCAAAATCTGATATATTTTCCTAACATAAAATAATAAAATGTCAACTATCCTGGGCATAAAATGGAGCAGTTTTTAATTTTTCCTGTTGGGCTGCCATAAAAATGTTATTTGACTTTTGTATAAAGGAAATTATTTGTAATAAATGAATGGAAAATTTAAATAACATTAAAGGTTAAATAAAGACAAGACAGCACGGATATATGTATGTACTTGCAAATGTTCATAGTTTTTTTATCAAATTAAATTTAATTAGTAATAAATGTTTTATTCTGAAAAATACTACTCGCTTAAAGATGGATCTGTTACTTGGAAAGTACGGACAAATTTTATTTTTGTGGTTAGTTTGCAAATTGTACTCTTCAAAACTTTAGATGGATAACAGTCCCCAACATGCATAAAATCATATAGTTTATCTCTCCTACATGAGAAGACGCAAATCGTTTGCACCTTCTACATAAAGCGCAAACCAGTGCATTAAAATTATAGAATTATTTTGAAAAAATATAATTTTGTTTTGCCGGCAACCGTGGGAGCTGCTGCTGATTAGTTCGTTTAAAGAATGACAATCAAAAATGTACTAACTGTTACTAACCTCAAAAGAAAAGTTTTGGTTGTGAGGTTTTGATAGTCATTGATAAGTTTTTTTGCCCAAGTTGACCAAAACCCAACTGTAAACATGGTAAGCACGAATGAAAAATATCAGCAATTCACAGTAAAATCGCCACATACTTTCATACTGATAAATAAAGCCCGACTTTTAACACACACAAAACATTCACAAGTAAATCAACACTTGGATCTTTTAGTCGATTCTCACATATAATGGTGGTGCAATGCTTGCAATGAAAGGTGAAAATTGCGTCGCAATAGCGGCGGACAGGCGATTTGGAGTGCAAGCCCAAACACTAGCCACTAACTTTGAGAAAATCTTCGAAATGGGGTCCCATCTGTACGTGGGTCTTCCGGGACTGGCCACCGACACCCAAACAGTGATGGAAAAACTCCGTTTCCGCAAAAACATCTACGAACTGAAAGAAAACCGGGCAATGTCTCCAAGGGTTTTCAGCGCTATGGTATCGCATTTGTTGTACGAGAACAGATTTGGCCCGTATTTCGTCGAACCAGTCGTAGCTGGACTGGAACCCAAAACCTTCGAACCATTCATCTGCAACATGGATCTTATTGGATGCATAAATCAGCCCAAAGACTTTGTTGTGGGGGGCACCGCATCAGCACAGTTGTATGGTATGTGCGAAGCCTTGTGGGAACCCAATTTAACACCTGATGAGCTGTTTGAAACTACTTCGCAAGCCCTAATCAATGCTTTTGATAGGGATGCTGTTTCAGGATGGGGTGCCACTGTTTACATTATGTAAGTGAAGATCAATTGAAACTTGCACGGATAAGTAATTCTGTTTTTTTTAGTGAAAAAGACAAGGTTACAATCAAGAACTTGAAGACCAGAATGGACTAAAAGATCCAATTAAATGGTGTTAAGTTAAATAAGTCTTTGGCACGTGCTGTATTATTAATTTTTTAAATAAATATGAATGTCTCCGTGGCTGTTTGTATAGCATTGAACTTGTCTATCACCTAGATATAACTTGGAAGTTTGTACAAAAACGCGTAGAAAAGCTCATTTGTCTCTATTTCCATTTCGGCCTAATGTTTTTTAAGTTTTACAGTGCAACACGCTGATCAAGTTAAGCCACTTGCAACTCTGCATATGGATGATTTTCTAATTCACTTTAATCGAAACGGACAGGTGTAATTTTAAAAATGTACTAAAATCCATGAAAACACAGGTGTGCTAACACGTCAAGAAGTGGCAAATCAAATCAAAATCAATCAGTTTCCAAAGATGACTGAACCGATCAAACAAGCTGGATCCATTGAGAAGTACTTAGAAGAAACAATTTTCGAGTACTTGCGAGGCCAAACCGAAGTGGCTGAAACCTATGCTTATGATTTTAACAAAAAGCGTGAACCAGGTTTGAAAAATTGTCCAAAATCGCTCAACATTCCCAATCCGAATTGTAGAACAAACGACCGCTGAAGACCCGCAAAAAATCTTATGTCTTATCGAAGACTTGTTAAATGACCTGCTAGATGATGTCGATAGAACGGTTTTATACGAAGCAGAGTATCAGAAAGCGTATAAATCCCATCACCAATACGCCTTATTTGAACTGGCAGATATTATTCCCGGATTTTCTCTTGGTAATCATTAAAACACTTAATTGTCCGTTTAAAGTTAAGGAGCACACATGGAATAAAACACGCATAAATAAATAGTAAGTTAATATTAAACACACTGTCGCACATATTTCTGGTAACAAAAGTACACGATATCACTTTTCGCTTGTAGGTACTAACATTATGATTATACGCATGTTGTAAAATGCATTATTTATTCACATATTTTCGCGCTACGTTCCTATAAAGCTGATATACAAATAAATAATCGTCTTTGATATAAGAAAAGCACACTTGAAGCATCAAACAGAGTATATTTAAACGAAAAATTTATCTAATCTCGATTCACATCACCCATTTGAATTCATTTAACCACCAAATTGAACAGTAAACTTTCAAAAACAATTAACATATAAAATACAAACTGCTACAGTCGAGTGCAGTGTGTATTGTTGAGGCTTCGCAAATTGCTTACCATGCTGCCTGAAAAAGTGTTGATTTTAAACAAAAGTTCGTTCGTTTGGCAAGTTGATAAAAAAAAGGTTCTTGTACGCGTATTAAGAAAATTACATACACTTGCAGATAACACTCTAATAAGGCAACTGTGCTTCCGGGAAACTCTCCTCATAAGCAACGTGGATCAACAACAAGCGCAACAGAAGGGCAACGGGATTAAACCACAAGGTGTCGGAGGAATGTGCCTGAAAGTGGAACTAGTGAGAGGAATGCCACCTAAGCAGAAACTGAGTGAAGAAGACAGCGACAAGACTATTGTGGAAAAACTCAAGGAAATCAAAGAAGGTATGAGGAGAGAAGCTGAGGCTTTCCCGAAGCAAACATCTCCAGTATCTGTTTAAGAACTAGCGCGGTCTAAAACGGTTATTGGCGCCAGCCCTCAAGAAGAAACTGAATCGGAAAAGCTGAGAAAGTATGAAGAATTCCTGCAGGAGCAGATGTTTAAAACGCCCCACAAGTTCGTCGTGCATTTATCAACAGAATTCAACGTCGATGGACAGAACGCGGGTTCTAGGGTAATTTCTTGGGTCGACAAAGATTTGCACACCCTCGAAGAAAGGCGCACAGAGTGGGGCGTTCACCTCAACCAAAAACAAACCAATTTCAAGTTTCCAAATTTCAGATACTTATTTCGAGAAGATATTTCTTCCACAAAACAAGTCCTGTACTACGCACTTCAGGACAGCAAATACTTTGTGAAACACCAGCAAAATACCAATGAAACGACCGAAACTAGAAAGTATTATCCTTTGAGTAAAACGAAAGATATGATTGGGGAAGGTGCCAACTTTATCCTCATGAGATACTTGGCGATTACAAAGTATACGGGCTCATTTGAGATGTCGACGATTTATATTAATGGGGACATGTGCAGGAATATTTATGTGAGTTTGAACGAGAGCAGGAATTTTGATTTTCAAGCTGGGTTTACTATGGAGACAGTCCAGGCCCAAACCCGCTACCAAAACAGACAATATAGGTACAGCTGAATCTTTCAGGATTGCAAAGGACCCAAGCCGGGCATTGTCAATGGACACAAGATAGACTTATGTAAAATATACCGCACCATTATAGAAGAATGTGGCATTATTCATTTATCAGTTACGGTTTTAACCGTCTACGGTAAGGCCGATTGTGGTAGCATAGCTGGCAGTGAATTTTCCGCTTTTCAGGCATGATTGTTAGTCAGGAATGGGAAGGATGCCCGTATATTATTCACATAAATCCGCTTTTTGTTACCAAAGGAAAGCCAGTGCCTTATGATTGCGTAGCGCTGAAAAAGGTGTGGGAAACCAACATGGAAATGGTATCCAAATATCTCGATTGCAAGGTAAACTCAAAATACCTAATATTTTTTAGAACTTTACTTAAAATTTGAATCTAACATTATCAGCTCTATCAACCCCAAAAGGGAGACGGGAATGTTTTAGAAAAATAAAACACCATTTCATTTGTTTTGCATGTTTAGGTAGAAGCAGAGTTCAAAATGAAAACCTACCTAAAAGACCACCCGGAAATTCAAGATATGCTGTCTGACTACCTAAACAGTGTGCTGCTGTTGAAGCCGGAAAACGTTATGCCATTCACTGTGGACTATTTCATGAACTTTGAGCCATACAGTTTGCCCGAGCTGCCCTATTTCGACGACTTCGACGAGAACAAAGTAACAAATGAAAGCGAAATGTTCTGGTAGTTGCGGGCAAAATCTCCAAATAAAACATTCAACATACCTTTTCAAATCACTTGCTTTTTTGAGCGGGATAACACACGACGCACACCGTAGTCGTATCATCTTCTAAACATTGCCTGTGAAATACGTGGTTGCAGTTGAACATTTTCAAGTCAGATAATCGGGAAATATCTGCAAAATATGCAAAATTTAACACGAAAACTATTTCCAGATTAGATTATTTACCATTTTGGATTAGTTTGTAATGGCAAGCTCCACAAAGTACATCGCTGGATACAGACGTTCCTTTCTGCCTAGTGTGAACCAGCTTTTTTTGCAGATTAAAATAATCGGAGACTAAAATTTTTTTGCAACCCTCTTGAACAGATACCTGGAATATCAGTGTTTGGATTAATAATCCAGGTTTTCCTGTCAGCAGAATACCTGCAGATTATATTGGTTCAACATCTTAACTAAAGAGTTTCTCAGTCCTGGAATCTCCATGTTTCCTTTGATTTTCATGATTAGAGTCGTTGGGTCGATGTAATTTCCAATACTTTGAAGCAAAAACGTGACAAATTCTGAAAATTAAAGATTTATTTTATTCTTAAAATATTTCGAAAGAAGGTGTTTAGTAAGTAATTTTTTGGGGTTTTTGATACGCTTAATTTTCGAATTACTTAATTAATTTCGAAAAAAAATCGTGCCCAAATCTTTACCTGGCTTGTCTATGCAATGATCTATAAGATCATCCCATAGATCCGAATCGTCGTGCTCGTGGCAAAAAGAAATTGCGTATTGCATATCCTTCAGCTCGTGTATTATCAGGTCTAAGGCTTCCTTGGTATCGCCAATCCTTCCTGTAAGTGTTCAAAAATCGCTAGTTAAATGCCTAAAGCGAAATTGTCCACTCTTACCCAGAAGGAACACCATTTCCGGATAAAACTTGTTCTTCTGGCAAATGTCCAAGGCGTACTGTATGGGGTAATGATCGGATTTTTTCAAGAATGGTAGTAGTTTTTGCCTATCAAAAATTGCATACAGCTCTACCAGCTCCTTGTGGTACTCGCCCTTACAATTCCTTTTGTCATATTCATCCAAGTACTAAAAGGAAGAAATCAGCTTGGACTCGAAGGGGTTTGTTGGCAAATTACCCTGTACAAATGAGAAGGACTGGACCTGAGCTTTTTCACAATTTTCTCTGGTGGAGTGCTGTTCTTCTCTAGCAGCAAAGCTACGGTTTTTGCATAATCCAAATCCATCAACTGTGTCAGCATTTTTTCCATCACATTGTGCAAGTTGTGGTTTTGAATGAGCGTAAACACATCTTTATGATTCAGTCTGGAAAAACCACGCAATTTTATGCATTCCAATTAGTATTGTCCCACTCACTTAAGGTACATGGATAAACTACTGTCGTATTTTTGTTCGTAGCTATATAGAATAGCTAAGGCTTCTACAAAAATATCACTTTTATCGATTAAAGCATGATCTAATACGGCGTTTATTACAGCAGAAACATTATAAAGGCCATGGTTCCACTCTTTAATTAGTTGCAAAAATCCCTAGAAAACAACTGGGTTTCTCAAAGCTACCACAATATTATCTAAAGTTACCTGAGCATTGAACTTTAGGTATTCGAATAAAATCATCTCGTATATGTGAGGATTTAATTTCGTTTCCAGAGTTCTAGGAATGTAAGGGCTAACAGCCCTAAAATAAGACATTAACAGAGTACTGCCAGGCCACAAAAAAACAGATTCTCACCTCAATTGATGAACCATTGCAAACTTGTAAATTTGATCCTCCCATAGGGAGTGATTTTTTTCAAAAATTTGTAATCCTAGCCTACCAGCATCGTCGTACATTCCTCTACTGAGCAAGAAATCCAAATACTCAATCCCCACACTTTGAATCGTATGTTTGTAAATACTTCTACTGTCGTTATTTTGCAGGATTTCAAGAGCTTCCTTATACTTACTAAGAACAAATTATACATAAGCATACGAATATGCCTGATTGTGAAACTTACTTGTGTTGAATGAACCACTGGATTCTATCATCTAAATCATACGGGCTAGCTATAACAACATCTTTTGGAGCAACAATAAAAAACACATTTTCTTCTAACAACACATCCAGATGATAATCATTTACAGAATATTCCTGGTATCCTGAAAACCACGCTTTGGACCTACATGGCATCTAAACGAGCAAACGGAAACTCACCTCTTAAAGTTAAACTATCAGTACAAATATCAGTATAGTCATTATCTTTGTACTCAACAATATACAATTGGGGACGTAAACTTTTATTGTTCTCGTCGTGTTCTTTAGGCACACCCAACAGCACCAATTGCTGATCTAACGGGGCGATTCCACTTATATAAAACTCCGTTTGAAAGGTTGAAACTAGTAAAGAAGTTTCCAAGTTGATTAATTGAAAAATTTAGCCATTTGTCAGTTTACCGGGGTCGACTAAATATTCTGGTAAAGCCCTAATAGCTAACTCCATATTGCTCCGTTTCCTAATGATGCAAACTCTTACTGTATCCACCCAACCTATGAGGAGAGTTCTATCATTTGCCCATCGCAAGTTGCATCTAAATTTTTCTATCGACATACTGAAAAAACAACGGATAATATTATAAAAGCCATCGTTTGTTTCTTTTGCGTCCCAAACCCAAGATTACCATTTCAATGACCCGAAGTCCGAAAAGTTTAGTTTATTCATTGAACATATTGGTTTATGTTTTACCTGGGATGTTCCTCCCATTTAATGAGCCCCAACGAGCATCTAGCATTCATATCATATACTCTAACTCCTACATTACTGGACAAGGCCAGAAAGTTTCCACCCCATGAAAGACTGCCTACAAGTCCTTCACTTTCCAAGAGAACGGTGGACTTTAAACTGCCCAAAAATGAGCGTTCCCAAAGTGTGAGTTTATCATCACCTGAAAATATTATCGTGCCAAGGGCAACTTTGACCAGACATATTTATTCATTGATTTACCCATTATAAATCGTTTATTTGATGGACTCTTGCAAAAATTGGGATCCACGGCCACGGTTTTAACAAGCCTGGCCACATTCAGGCTGAAATTGTTTTCATGCGAAAATAATCCATGAATAAACACCCTCCCATCATCTGAACAAGTTGCAATATACTCGCCACTCTTATCAATAGATATCTGGTTTACACTGACTGAATGGGCTTTGAGCTTTTGGCTTAAATCACTGTTACCCTCGTGGTCTAATATGTAAATAACCCCCCTGTGTGTGCCAAGGCAGATAAACTGAAATAGTTGTTCATCTAATCAGTGATTTATATGCATAGGGGGCTATAGGTAAATTACCTTTGTATGAACAGCAATGCATGTAGCCGAAGTAGTATTGAGGATCACTTTGAGGTCATTGCTGAGTCGAACATATTTCAGCTTCGGCTCTATTTCTTCCTCAGAATACTCAGAATCACTCATGTAGTCCTATGTGGAGTCAAAAGTGTTCTTAGCACTGAGTAACAGAAATATAGGACAGCTTTAGTGTATGGGGCTTAATACTCACATTAGATTCCGACATGTTCCCTCTTGAGTAAATCATCCGGATTATCGACAACAACAACACATTTTTAGCCACTACTTAAATGAATCACTAATTGCTATATTTGTTGATAACTAGAAGAAACAAACTCAATATTGGAACAACTGATTTATGATTATTTTATTGACAGCAGCGGCTAATTCTAGGTTATTGGCTTGTCTTCTGTTGGTACAAATTGTAGCTTATGCCTTTCTTCACTTTTCATTTGAAACTTTTTTGTGCCAGAATTGTAATTTTTACTGTAACTGCTAAAATTTACGATTATGACGATTTTTATCGGCCGATTTCGCCTTACGAGAATGATTGAAACATTTGCAATACTACTCATATTGTGGTGTTTCCTATTTCAAACACTTTATTTGAAAAAATTTTTACTGCAACTGTATTCATTTAAGATTCTGACCATTTTTATCGGCCGATTTTGGCTAACGAGAATGAATAAAAATTTTGCAATACTACTCATATTGTGGTGTCTCCTATTTCGAACACTATTTGAAATATTTTTTGAAAAAATGCCGTTTTTTGCCAAAATCCAGAATTTACCCAGAAAATTAAGTACTAATTACTTACCTCCCACCAGAATGACGTAACACGCTGTCACACACAGCTGGGCGACAAAAAGTAATGCAAATACCTAGCTGTCGATGTATTTACTTGAATTGTCCACACATACACAAGTAAATAAAAAAACAATATCATTCCAAGCGTTTATTTTACAGTTTAATTAATAACACTAGAACAAATTTTCAAGCAACAAAATCGCCCCCCCCCCTTTTTTAAGTGCATTACATATTAAGGTAACCGGCTACTATTGATTTCAACGAGTTTTTTAACTAAAGAAATTGCACACCTATTCCAAACTGTACTCCTGGATGCGTTTGATCTGCTTTGTCAAATTTATAAGGAAAACAGTAATTTACCTCTAATCGAGCTACATTTCCAAGGCGTAGTGCAATACCCAATCCATATGATATTCTCACATTCGTTTTCAATATTTCAACAATGTCGCCTTTGGAAGCTTTTTCTGTAAAAAAAACATTCAAGTAGTACACAACAGATACATATCTAACTAAGGTTTATATTTTGTCTTATCAAGCTTTGAAAAAAAATGGCATAAGAAAAATAATATACGAGTAATGTACTAAAGCCCGTTACCCAAACTTAGATCTCCGACATTTCCAGCATTCAGAAATAAATGTGTTCTGAACAATTCCCCAAATCCTCCTTGTCCAGGCCTAAATGGTAGTGGAGTAAACAAATGGAAACCGGCAGCCCAAAAAGCATTCGATCCCAAAGAATCAGAATCAGAGTGAGGCCCGATGCCACGCATTTCGAAACCACGAATGGACAATGGTCCACCAATGTAGCAACGGTCAGCAATTGTGACTTTCTTTTCTTTACTAATAGCAGATACATAACCGGCCATTAAACTTGCTTGAAAAACCTGCAAACAAACAAGTCATACAAGCAGATTCAGGCTGAATGCACTTACGATGTCTTCAAACAGCGAGTAGTTGTCTTGCAACAAAACCTCATTCTTGAAAAATCCAATATTACCACCAAGTCCGGCTAACTCTGATGTGACTTGAATTAGAGAACTAAAAAAATTATTAGGTTTATTTGCCAGGCACAGGTGTACCTTCTATATGTGCATTTATTTTCATCAAAGTAGCACTCACCCTGTATTGGGAAATATAACATCGTCTCGAAGATCAACAGACATCATATATCTAATTGCAGACTTTAGTGCTGATCCAGATTGCTCTCTCACCTCAAAAGATGTAGTTCGCGATAGGGTTGATAAATCTCTAATGGTACCCTCCCATTGAAGATTATGTTTCAACTAAAATTTCAAAAAACAGCGAATAGGGAGTTATTGAAAAATAATTTAAAGAATATACTCACTAAAGTGGCAGAATAGAACCCAAAATCCAATTGTAGACTCCTATCTAACTGTTTGTAACCAGAGTTTGGCCATTCTGAATGGGCTTGCAAAATGGAAGTTCGCAAACTAAATAGGTGATCAGTTAGTGAACTCAACCGCAAAACATACATCGTACGTATAAATATGTTTACTACCTTGGCCTGTTCTTTCCGCTGAACGGCTTAATAAAGGACAAATTAAAATTGCTGGTCCTTTTTGAGCCCCGACTATATTCTATCTGAACTTTTTCTCCTCGGCCCAAAATATTCGGAGTACGCAGTCCAATAAGAACAGATCCTTCATTATTACCAACCTGTGTACTGATACCCCCAGTAAGTCTTTTGTGTTCCTTTACATCAAATGTTACCTGAAAAAAAATTCTATAAGCAAATGTGCATTTCTAGATTCCAGTCTAATACGTGCCTCTAAGCCATCGTTTGTGGCATTCGCTCCCTTACTAGTATCTATGTACACACCAATATTTTTAAAGCAGCCCAACTCATCTAAGTTTACTCTCGCCTACAGCAAACGGTCCTGAATTAAACAAAAGATAATTATATTTGTAAATCAAAAAAGTTTAACCTTATGAGCTTTGAGAAGGACTTGTTGAAAGTCTTTAGCATTGAATAAATCCCTTATGCAATCTTCGACAATATCGTTCTTGGTTCTGCACAGTCCGTCAATATTTATTTTGTCGACTCGAGCCTGAAAATCAGCAAAAAATATTAAATCTTCATCCCAGACCAATCTGAAGAACTATTCTCCTGTCACCTGTATTTGCTGTAAATCAACGTCCTTGACATTTGTCTCATAGCTCTGTTCTTTTATATGCGTTTCCTTTTGAATCCCATTTAGATTCTGTGGAGTTTCGCCCGGAATCTGAATTTAAATGTATTTCTAGGTTAGATATACCAACTCGTATGTGTAATAACGTGGAGTAAGCAATACTCGCCTTAGCATGAACTGTTCCCATGATACTGCAACTTTTATGTGCTTTTCGTTAATGTATTTTATCAGACCAGCATTTCCTAATTGAATAAAACTTGCCTCCTTCCAATCAACAACCTCAAACTTCTAAAGTTTCAAAAATAGAATATTCTGTATATGTCAATCAGTCAGTCCGGTATCAAACTTCAACGGTACCGATGTGTCAAGAATAAAGAACATAAAATCAGAATTAAATATATTTTTTTTATTTCTCCATGGTGTCAAGATCAAACGTGCATCAAAAATCAAAGTGCCTCCCACTCCTACTTCCAGAGACTAGTAATTTGTCACCACAGAACATACCCCCTGTGATTCTATTGGTTGGAGATCTGTCAATTCGCACGACGGCGGACAAATTGACAGATCTCTAACCAATAGAAACACTTTCGTATCGTCATACCATCGGATAAACTGTAAACTGCAGTATTTTGGGCAAAGTCTATGGGCAGAGTCTAACCTAACTTAACTGACAACATAATACACAACATTTTACTATATAAATTTTTTACTTTTTAAATAATTAGTTGTACATGAATTGTAAGAAACTATAGGTGTAATAGTCAGCAAGAATATGTCTCTGCAGAACAATTTAAGTGCATTTTTAGGAGCTGCAGTTTTAGGAGTCATTGGGGCAGCTGGAATGTTCTTCGCAGAACATTACAGACAACGAAACATGAGGAATGCTGTCGTTAAAGACTTGGCTCGGCTGGAAAAGGAAATATCTCAGTTAAAACTAGACTTGCAACAGTTACAAAATCAGTCACACATCGAAAGGTTAATAAATTTATTTGAGCAGTTAGCCTATGTGTATTGTTCCCTACATAGATTTCACGTTGTAGACACAGCCGACCAAAACGACCGAATAGAGCTTATGCTAAGAAATCGAATTCAATCGTATCAACAACTACTGATGACTATCTTAGCGCTGCAAATCTAGATAGTTCAGATTTAGAGTTTTATGATTTAAGCGATGAAGAATCAAAAAAGGAGCCAGATTGTATCCAGGTGGTAAGATCAGTTTTTTTTAGTTGCTCCCAAAACTTAAACCTACTTCATATGAGCAATATGACTTATCAATTTCAAGTAGCAATTGATAAAACTTACTAGGTAATTTAATTTCAGATTTTAAAGGAATTAGACGAAAAGCTTGAGCTAAAAGATATTCAAGTAATAGAAGAAGTGCTACAAAGATTAGAAGATCTTTGCTTAGATTATCCCGGAAATCCAGAATTCTTATATAGAATTGGTATGCATTAAACGGCTTAATTTAACACGAATCATAATTTGCGTTTTCATACAACAGGAAAAGCGCACCATAAATTAGCCGACGCATGTGATGATAAAGAACTTAAAGAAAAATATTTAAATAAAGGTTTGTGGAGTATAATAAAGCCAATTTTATTGATAAAATTAGCGATCGCGTCAAAGCCACATGTTCATAAATACTGTTGTGATTTTTAGGAATTGATGCATGTTCTTCAGCTCTTAAGGTCGTGTCGGACCATGCAGACGTACACAAATGGTACGCTGTATTGATAGGTGAGCAATCATTATTTCCATGCATAATTTATGTTAGAAGTTTTCCTCACATATAGGTAGTCGAAGCAAATTAGTTCCATTTCAAGATCGGATACATGATGGAAATATTTACAAGAAGCACGTGGAAATAGCTCTCTCTCTGAACCCCAACGACGCTTCGTTGCATTTCATGCTTGGCATGTTTAACTATGAACTCGCTGGTCTAAAATGGTAATAAAAATAATTGCCTTATTTATGTTTATATAAAATGAACCAACAAGAAATCGTTTTATTCATTATTGGTACTTTTCAGGTATGAAAAGAAAATAGCAGCTGCGTTATTTGGGAGCTCCCCAGAGTCCACATACGAAGAAGCATGTTTTCAGTTTCTAGAGACTGAGCGACTCTCTACTTTTGAGTGGAAAGAGAACAGATTAATGATAGCCAAATGTAAAATCGCTATGAGGGAATACAAAACGGCCGTCGAGTGGTTATACAGAGCTACCCAAGGCCATTGCACTAGTTTGGTAGCTATTATTTCAAGCACATTTTCGTTATATTATTTTACAATTAAATAATAAGTGGTTTCATTAATTTTAGGATGGAAAAGTCGACAATGAAATTGATACGTTGCTGCAGAAGTACAAACAGTACTAAAAGTGTCGTCAATATATGATTAACGTTGTAATACTGCAGTTCACTTTTCGATATTTTCAATGTTGGTTTGTTTTTTAGGCATTTTATTATCAAATAAACTTTTGTTTTTATTTTATACATTAGCCGCTAAAAATCGTTTAGCATTCAGAACTTCAAGCCTGACTTTTCAATTAAGGTCACATTATCTAATTCCTATATAAAGTAATTAATTTTTAATGATATATTTTTGCTATAAGCAATTTAAAATTTTACTAATTGTATCTGTTTCTATCTAACTTTTCATCATCGTCATGCAGTTGCGTCGCACGAATTAGAAATTTACTAATTAATATCTTGTTCAACTAATTGCAGAGTACCATATTACCTATTTTAATAACAAAATACATATCCTACATTAAATTCGTTTGTCAGTTGGAGCTTTGAATTATATTGATCTTCGTAAAAACGGTTTTGTAGGTGCCGACCGTGTAAAAGCTAAAACTCGAATGATTGAATTTAGTCGTAGAGTAAAACGGAATAGATAAAACTGACAAGCAAGCCTACACACCTATATTTTTATAATACAATCTACATGCAGTTGAAACAAATGGTTAAAGGCATATTTCAAAGCTGAACAAAGAGTTTTGTTGGCTCAGATATTCTCATCTTCACTTTAGTGATCTCTTTTACGCATTCTGCACAAGTTTTGCAAGGGTAACATGGTGATGTCGTTCTTGATTTTTACCACTCCCTCATGAGAGTCTATCGAGAGAAGTTCACCAGTTTGTTCTCGCTCCTCGCCTATGATAACCTAAAACGACAATCCGTTTGCAATTAAAAATGATGTTCGTATGCCCCATTTTACCTTAAACTGGTCACCCCTTTGAGGACGGACGGGATCTAAGTGGTCTGCCAAAATGTTCACGACACGATCCTCTATTGGGAGAAATACGGAACACATGGCTCCCGAAATACTTCTTATAACTACCGTCTGTCCCACCAAATCTTTGTCATCGTGACTATCACGAACGCGAACCTAGAACATGCCACAAAAAATTATATAAAACCGTTACTATCTAGTAAATTACCTCAATATCAACAGTATGCCAATCAGTCATGGGAAGAACATCTAGTCCAGCTCCAGGAGTCTGCGGATTGTAAGGCATCGTTGGACTATAACCCGAACTTGGTGTGTTGTACGGATTGTTACTTGCTGGAGATTGTCCATAGCCTAGACATATGAAACTGTGAATAATGTGTCGCATTATCCTTACGACCGGGAGATAATTTTACACACAACATAAACACCTACCTGTAGCTGGTGAAGGAGTAGAAATCGCACTTTGATATCCATATGGACTATATGAATTATCGTAGACCGCTCCCGGCGTTTGCGGAGTAAATGGAGCGTTTATGCCTCCCGGAGTACCTATGCAAGAAGTTTTTACTTGTCTGTTTTTAATCGTCTGAGGGCACACTTCGTCAGTTCTTTTGTAACATTGCAACTTAACTTACTAGGATTGTATGCAGGAGATGGGTATGTATTTGGAAGACTAGGATCCCATTCCGAGCTGGCATTTGGTGTCCTGGATCCATCATGAATTGGGGTCATTGACCCATAATGTAATGGTGTTCTTGAGCCTGACTCTGCCATGGGTGTTTTATTGCCCATGTCTCGATATAACGGTGTTTGGCTTCCGGAATACGCGGGGGTGCGGCCGTAGCTCGATATCGAGCCATCTTTAGACGGAGTACCAACATCAGCGATGTTGTTGTGATCCACTGAGATGGTCTGGAAGAAATTAACAATCGAAATAGAATACATATATCCTATTATAATTTGATTTCAGGGCAAAAGTTTCAAATAAACAGTATACCCCCCAAATACAACTTACCTGACATGATGTGTGTAATTCAATCCTAGCCGTACTTTGAGTCACGTCTTTAACAATTCCAATGTTGCCTTTATAAGGCCCTTTTGTAATTTTAATCGTAGTACCAATCATATCTCTATCACGAGATCCTCGTCCTCTACCACGCCTTGCCCCTCGAAAACCGCCTCCAACACCTAAAAGAAGTTTTATGTGGTTACCAGACCAGTCAGTGCATATTGATTTTAATTTGCTTAAAATTACCTGGCATAGTTCCGACGCCGCTTGAAGGATGCATAGGCGAGCTTCTTCTAGGAGACATAAACTCCATTCCAGTTCCAATATCGGCGTTTGGTACGATTTTGCTTCCGCCGGCCAATTGCAAATGCTTGGTTTTACACACAAATATCCCGCCGTTATTAAGAAATTCCACCGATTGTAGAAATGCGAAATTTCGATAAAGATGTTTGATTTCTCCGGAAAATCCAGAATGGGGCCCATCTATAACCTGATTTTTTTGATAATAGATATAATTGAAACAATTTATATTTATTTTCTATCAAAATCTATCATTGTCTAATAGTATCACATTAATAAAATGCTATTAATTGGTAGTAATGTAACTAAAAATTAACAAAAACTATTGTACATACCTTGACCATGTCATGTCTGTGAAGACTATTCCGATAAGAATCGAGAGCTGCCAAAAATTTGTTCAATTTTCTTTTTTGCAACGAGCCAGGTCTACATTCTACCACTTTACCTATAGGAAATTAATCAATTCACATAAAGTAAATACTACTTGATTTTTGCCTACCATGCATATTTAACACGTGAAAGTTTTCACGCTCCAATCTGACAATAACTCCGACAGTTTCCGCATCCAGAGTCACCAAATCACCCCATTCAAATTTCCCCAATGAATCAACGCCGCTGGCCATATCACTGCACAGTTGCAAGTCTTTGGGCAAAATCTCCATTTCATGCATTGTAAGATCGGAAATTAATACGACTCTGTTGATTTCGACACGCACAACTAGTCCGGTATCTCCTTCATATCGTCCTTAAGTAATAAAAGCGTTGACTTTACAAATTTGCATACTCTAACAAGTTTATATGATAAGTTTTTTTCCAATTGGAGCTTACCTGCTAAAACTTTGACGTGGTCCCCCATTTTGAAATATTTTTTTAATTCTGACGCCTGGAATACCAATGGTTCCTTTAAATCTGCATGTTTAGGCATTATAGTAATCATAGAACCGTCGATGCTGCCAAATTAAACAAATTTTAAATAAACAACAAGTTAATTATAAAAAATCAGTAGTAAAATACCTTAAAATTTTTCCTTGCAAATTGATCAATTCTCCTTCGCACACTTCCACATTGTCTCCAGCACTAAATGAATGTGTCACTGCTTTATCCTCCTTTTCGGTAGGCAATTCTAAATCGATTCCTGACAAACGCACATACTTACTGGTAAAATAGCTGAGGCAAATATTGGATAAAAATGTTTACCTTCTGGTTGTTCTTCAAAACGTTCCAATTCTGCTAGAGTAGGTTTAACGCCATCCACAATCACAGCACTAAGTGTGAAATTTTTGTAAAGGAACCCTTTTCTGGAATATCTATTGCCTTCAAAGATCAAAAAATCACCGTCTGATGTAACTTCTCCACCTACAAATTTACCAACACTTTGATCACATATTATCTAAACATACATATATATTTCATATAAGATCTGATTGCCAGTTGAAAGTAGCTTAATTTCTAAATATACATATATATAACTGTCATTCGGGGTGAAGTCGGACTGTGGTGGCGAACTCGGACATACCATAAATTGGTCAATATTTTCGTCTAGATATAGATTTATACTACTACTATAGATTTATACTACTACACGGGAGTATTGACCAATCACGGTCTGTCCGAGTCCGCGTCCACAATCCGACTTTACCCCGAATGACCGGTACATTAATCAGCTATATACAAAATTCTTAACTGTTACGCCGGGCATCATAATGCTTAGTCTGAATAAGTAGAACATTCATGCATAAAAAGTATTTAAAGAAAATGCAAAAAGCGTGGTTTCATAAATAAATGAAATTAAAGATTTGTGACTATATTACCAATAGCTCTAATTGCTTCAGGATCGAACGGCTTGGCGGGTGGGCGTCGCTTTCTTTTTCTTTTTTCAGCTTCAGATTCCTAAAATAATAAAATTCAATAACAAACGACGAATAATAGTTTATTGTAATACCCAAAATACTTGCGAATAAAAAAATCACATTTAAAGAGTTACCAATAGAAAGGTGTAATGCACATAAAGGTTAAAAATTGCCAAAATTACCGCCTCCTCCCGATGGTTTTCGAACATGTATATGTTTGCTTGTCAAAATAAATTAATACTGTTTTTCCTTACCGATTGAGTCGTTCTGAGAGCTCCACGAAGTCTCGTATAATCGATTCTAGGTAATATCTTCAAATGAACCTGATTCTGAGCCATGTCAAAATAATCCACTTGGGCAATATCATCCTTGTAGAGACCTCGTTTAAGTCGAACCCACTGTTTGGATTTCAGACCTTTGAAAACATGAAAAAATGAAAATATATAGAGTGGCCGATAAACTTTCAGGGAAAAAATCATTCTACCTGTTTGTTCTTTCACAACGCGCAATACATCTGTCATTTCTTTGATGGGGACCATTTGCTGCTTCCATTGTCCTACTCTCAAGTTCCCAACATTATCAATTACAGCCTGAAAACATGCTAATGCACTTATTAATTGCGGATAAACGGAAATTAATTTTTACCTTAACGTGGGGCTGTTTATAAGCTTCAATATAGATGTATCCTTTGAGACCTTCAGGCGACACAACAGATTTAATTTGCAATGGTTCGCCAGTATTCTGATAAGCCAGAAATTTACGCATTAAATGAAGGCATGTGGATTTTTCTTCGCCAATGCGACATTTAACCATCCATAAATTAGGATCTCTGTAAATCGTTGGTTGATAAATAACAAAATATAAACGAAAATTTTCTTAATACTAACTTTACACCCGGTAATAATGTCTGTTGAGTAATTTCGTCCGACATTTCCTCGCCACCATCTCCGAAATGCTTGGCAGCGGCACCATCATCAGCATATTTTTTTCGTAAATATTCCTCAATTTCGTGTTCCTTCTGAGCACTGCGAAATAAAATTGGAAATAATATATTGTGTAAATATCCTTGTTTCGTACTCACTCCCATAGATTAGTTCCCCTTCTTCTGCCTTCAATTTCACGAGCAGTAGGACCAAACTCATCTAGCTCGTTAGACACAATACCGATTTCCTGGGCTCCATCTTCCCATTCATCTTCATCTTCTACCTCGTCATCAACCTATGGAATAGCATAGTTTGCAATTTTCTAAGTCCTGTGTGCTTCGAAATGAATACCTCAGCTTCATCAATAATGAATCCCCCATATCTATCTTTCTTTTTGCGCTTTTTTGACCTTCCACCTTCGTCGCTATCGTCTTCCTCGGAATCATATTCTTCACTATCTCGAAGACTCTGTCCATCCGGCTCTTCTTCCTCTTGTACGTCTTCGGGGTCAGATACTTCATGCGCTTCTGATCTAGATTAAATTGAAACATTGTAAATACAAGCTGATCGCAAGATTGAAATTGAACTTCAGGAGAGAAAGCGACGGCCAAAATCGTTGTTAAACCAACGACGCCTTCAAAGCAGCAAGGGTAGGTACCAAACTATAAACTAAAGTTTAACAGCTATATTTACCCCGATCGTCTCCTAGACCCACTTCTACTTCTAGATCTGCTTCTAGACACACTTCTAGATCGAGATCTTGCACTCCCACTCCTAGACCTAGACGGAGTTCGTGATCTCGATCTCGATGGAGAGGCAGATTTGCTTCGTCGTGATCTAACGCTGCCCCTGGAGCTGCGTGATCTTACAGAAGCAGCTTCAGACCCACGCTCGTTGTCTGAGAAATTACTAGCTTCCGAGTCCGACATGATCTAAAATGGAATATAATCATACATTTATCCAAGTATTGCAACGCGTATATTTTAAGTGTACTTTAAGGGAAAATTAAAAATTACGTCGAAATCCGCCAGACATAAAGTACAGGAGCACCTGTAATTTCAACATACTTCCAAGCATATTGAATTATCTCGGGATTCCAAACAGAAAGAAATGCAAACAGTAATACTTACCAAGATACCTGTGAATTTGCTCGAAAATATATGGTTTCGGACTGCAAAATATGGGTCAATTTGCTTAACTCTTAAACGAATTCACCATATTAACACGTTGATCACTAATGTTTAATATTTGTTCAATTGTTGTCAATTGTGTGGACTGAATTTCAATTCTGAAACGTCTCAAATAACCACAAACTATTGCCAGCAATAGCCGCCATAGATAAAGACAAGTACGACATTGAAAGTTGGAAGCAGAGTTGCCAGTTTTTCCTATTTGCCAGTCGCCAATGTTGTCGGCAAATATTGAAAAGTCGCCCACTGCCATTAGGATTTTTTTCCCTAGTTCTAGGTATTTAACTACGCAGGCAAAAGAAAAACAGGATTTGTTAAAATTATCTAGGAATTTAAAAAAAATTTCGTTTATCTGCAAAAAAATTAATTCTGGAAAGAAAATATTAATATATCGGCCTACAAAAGGCTAACAAGTAGAGAAGAACCACAATTTGTTTCAGGGAATTTCAATTAATTAAGAGTCATTTTTAAGGAATTTTTAATTTCCCGGAAATTATCTTTACTGCGATGCAAAAATCTGAGCATCATTAAGTTTGATAATCTGTGCCTGGTACTTAGGGCCGTATTTCGTATTTATAGCAAAAGTCTAGTGGAAGCTATTTGTCTTTTTTATCCATCTCATACTGTGTATAAAATTCTACATTTCGCACAAAGACAATACCGCTAAATATTAGAAAAGTACGAAATTCCAAAGAGTCCAATTAATGTAAAGAAGAGAAGTTTTAATATATCTATTCAATACTTTGCCCTAAACATTAATATGTTCAAACCCAAGCACCCTGTATCTCAAGGATTCATGCGTGAGGAGTGCCACGGGATTCAGCTCATCCGAAAAATTCTGTATATTTTTATAAAATCTCGAATGCACCACCACTCTTCACTTCTTAATATGAAGTTGCATGGAAATCATGCACCAGGCAAAGGCAAAAATGACAAAACTCATACTATTTAACAATTGTTAAAATCTAAATAAAAAAGTGTAAGTTTAGAAGTTTTTGTGCTGAATTTTTTAAAACTGTATTTTTTTACTATAGTAATAATGTATTTTATACCTATTTTACGTGCATTAATTTTGTTTTTACTGTTTAGGTCCTATATTACTCCACTTCAGAATTGTAATTATGATTTTTTATACCTGAAATCTTTAAGAGAGTTCAATTTTGTTATATTTTCAGCAATCACTTACCTATCATACTGTAATTGTTTAAAAGAAAACCAAAATTGCTAAATATTACAGCAAATCTCCGTATAAGTCAATGAGATAGAAAGAGACATGCACCCGTCGGGACAAAGGGTTGCCTACATTTYGATTWTGCCTCACTTTTATCGTGCATAGCGTCCGTTYCMGGTACTTRTATATAGTTCATTGGTTCTAGGTACTTATAACAGAGACAAGTTTAGTATACACACASACTTGTCTCTRGTATACAGTTCTTTGCCATTTCATTGCAGARACAAGTACTTKYMKCTGGTTCATTGTTCAACGCGCGCCATCGAAATCAAACTGTAACCCACAGAACAYCTCTGAACCTGTAACCTTTGACTTAATARAAGAGGAGCAAATWTATTCAACTTCACCATAACCCCTGTTTTTGGTAAAACTAGTATCAAATTCGAAATTTCAACTATTGATATCACACACATCTAAAAATATCCTAAAATCTATGGCGATCCTATTTTTAAAACTTGCTTGAAATGTTCCGGAAATCTCCGTACACGAATGGAACATCGTATTACATCAGCCGCGCCTCAGTAATTACCCAGTTATTTGGCGATTTCTGCCAGAACGTTGAGTATTTTTTGTACAGTTTCGAACAATACACGGTCGACACTGTGGAGCACTTAATTGTAGGGTTACTTTGTTACGTACTACTATGTGGGTTATTGTACCTATGTATAACTCAGTTGGGACTGTTCGGTTTCACTCGAGATTTCAGAAATGCAAAGAGAATATTATTTGTTACTGCCCACCCAGATGACGAAGTCATGTTTTTTGGGCCTACAATTTTGCATTACACCCAGAAAAAAAATTGTATGGTTTTCCTGATGTGTTTGTCTTCAGGCAAGTATATCTTCCATGATGTTTGAAAGTGTCGAATCCGTTACATCATTGGTCTATAGGCAAAAACTATGGTATGGACAAAGTGAGAACCAGTGAGCTGTATGAATCTTGTAAACTACTAGGCATAAAACAGGAAAACGTTTTTGTACATAGTAACAGCGATCTTCCAGATGCAATGGATGTGAGATGGCCATTAGAGATTATTTCAAAACACATTATCTATCTTGTGGAGGTAAGGCCATTTGAAGCCGTATTTCTTGGCTATCACAAATTGTGGGTCGACTTGTAGGCATTCAATATTACCAATGTCATAACGTTTGACAGGAATGGTGTCTCTGGCCACCAGAATCACTGTAGTATTTACTATGCTCTGGCAAATTTGATTATCGATAACGAATTACCAAAAGGTGAGTAAATCATCACTGTTCCGTTTCGTAACTATGTTAAATCTTGTTTATTTTTGGCTAAAAAACTCTTGTAGCTTGTGGTGTTTTTGTACTGGAATCCGTAAATAGGCTCCGAAAGTACTGGCTACTTTTAGACATACCCATATCGTTTATTATGTCACGATTCAGGTAAGGGTTTTAGCTCAAATGCTTAAGTGGGACCGCCAGTGCAATCATCTTTCTTCTTCAGGTATATGGAGGGTTTGTCACAAAGAAGCCTCTTGCATAAAGCCATGTGCCAACACAAGTCTCAAATGATGTGGTTTCGGAAATTATACATGGTTTTTTCTAGATACATGCTAATCAATACATTACAACAGCTGAATATGGTCGATATTGAGTTAGATTTGCTAGATTTGGATGAATGAGGAATATTTTTATAAAAGCAGTGCAAACATTTCAACAGTTTTAATTTTGAGAGATGAGAAGTCGATTTCTAACATAAACTTGTGCGATTATCTATTGAGCTTATGATAATGTAATATTCGATTCTGTTCTTCCACATATCACGCATTCTCTAAGTCAAAGAAATTGTTAAGTGCCAATAAATTATTATGTTACCAGTTGTCGTAGTTACAAACACATTGCTGTATTAATATCAATTTGAAAAATGCAATAAATATATTACTAAACTATCATATTCTTATCTTTCCTGGGTCTCAGAAAATTTTTTGAAACATCGTTTATTTCATTACGTTTCGGCGAGATATATTACTAAAGTAACTTGTAAAACAATCGTTGCTGTTGTAAATATAAACTTTTAAACATACTGATACATACTATTAATATTGCACATAAAAGTATGTTTACATCTTGATGAGCAGTCAAAAGCAGAAGCTATAAGTTAGAAATTCCCAATTGGCCATGGAGTGTTAAGCATGTTGATGTGAAAACTATAACTATGGAGAATGCACGTCCACGTAAAGCAGATTTAGTGCCATTTAAATATTCAATGTCATGCAAGTGTAAAAGATACGCTAAATTTAAGTTTTTATGCTCAAGACACGATTTGCATAACTGTGTACCGTTAAAATTACGTAGATGCTACAAAGGAACACGGCATAACAAACAAAACACATTTTGCTATACAACTGTAGATATATTTTTTGTTATTTTGACCGTTATAAAGCTTTTATAAAATATGGTGCAGGAGCATTTGATTACTGAATTTTTGCAACAGCAGTATACATATATATTTATATAGTATAATAAAGTGCTTATATGTAAGTGGATATTGGATTTATGAACATAGCAAGTTAAAATATTTCCGAAAATGTACTTGTGCTAGTTTACCGTCAGTGTCTGGACTTGTTTATTTTCTTCCGAATTATTTCTGTTATAACATTTGTAAAGCTACTCTCCAGCAACAAATGAAAACGTCTGTCAATCAAAAGCAACAATCACATTGCTTTCAGATCAATCCAAAAATATAAAGCGTCCAATTCTAATTACTTCATATCCAAAGGATAATTTGTCAAACAAGCCATATCTGAACAATATGACGAATTATGATCGTAAGCCTCCATTATAGGCATAATCTGCCTTATTGTGCATTATGAGACCATCATCCACAAAGTAGAAGCTATCTGATCGAGTTTCAAAGGGATGAGCTATCATATCATTCACTGAAAAAGTTTCGGATTTTAAGTTGTTAAAAATTACAGATAATAACCTTTTTTATATATTAACTCAGTTATAGAAAAGAACAAATAATAAAATGAGAAGTGAAAAGAAAATGTATAGTTGGTTTAAATTTTGAATGCATTAATTTTACATTGTACAATAAAAAGGTTAGTTCAAGTACCTACGTAGCCATATAAATAAATTAAACTTCAGACGGCAGTTCTCACACCCTACTTTAACATTTTGCCAGGTAAAGAGTGAGAAGTATTTTATCCTCGGTTTGCTTGTGCTCAGGACTTTAATATTGATCAAACTGAATTAGCATYGAAATATCTTTCGAATTTGACTTGCATAAGCTTATCTTTCACAGCAGTAATAAGAAAATACCTATAGTGTTTTATTACATTTCAACAGTTTATGTATAAAATTGTTGCACATTTAACAACACTCCGCTACTTACCCAAATCTTGTGGGAGCGATGGAAATTCATAAATATGCTCACAGGTATTCCGGGAGTATGGTATACAAAAACCAAACTCAAAGTCAAACGTTTTCAAGAGCTTATCTCTAAAGAAATGCCTTTCAATCATTCGAAATCGGTTAACAGGTCGGGATCCTACAGTAAACTCCACCCTAAAATACGATTAAAATTATCAATTAACCCATGTTAGAAAAATTATTATTACTATAGAAAACAGTAAATTACATTCAGACTTTCTGACAATACATGTCGGTAAAGTCAAAATCAAAAAATAGAAAAACATTGAAGTTGAAAATGAAGTGTGTATAATGTGTATAATAATAATAATATATAATAAAACATAATTATAATGTGTATAATAACTTTTTAAATGTTGCCATAACCATAACCAATAACATATCACCCAGCAGAAGTATAAAGTGCACCACTTTGAACATATGCAAAGATAATAATTTGATGAGTCCAAGCACTAAGCACTTACGTAGCTCCAACTGTTTTCAACTTTAAAAATTGTGGAGTAAATTGGTATCGGACAAATCGGCCAGAGTTTGGATCAATTGATTCATCATTTTCACAGTTGATTTCAGTAGCGCAATCAATATTTGGAGGTTTTGCGATCTCAAACAGAACAGCTCCACTTTCCAGATCCCTAATTTTAAACCTGAAAGCGACTGCCTTAAACAAAGTGTTTATATATCCGATACAATGGATACAATCAGCTAAAACTGGTAATAAAATTGGTAATCCTTTACAACACGCTCTTCTGTTACATGGGCACTTGCCAGCACGCATAGACGCGCAGGCGAAAACTATGGTACTGGTGAGCTATGTTGCCAAACTGCCACCAAAGTAGAAAATATCAATGAAAAACTCTTAGTGAACATTTTTCCTGAAGGGTCCATAAATTAAGCCAAAAAACGTTCACAAACTTTAAGGAAAATCGCCATTTTCAGGATACATTTCAAGCGGTGTTGCCAAACTGTGCAAAATGTTTTAAGTTAATGAAAACTGTTTCCTTGGATATCTACCATGTAGATTCATTCAATTTGGGTTAGTTTGGGCTAGATAGGGTTATATAGGCACTAGCCACCATGCTAACACAAACTGAATTAAGTGGTTTATTCATTTTGAAATAATACTTTTTATTCATTGTTACATACAAACTGTTAATAAATAGGTGAAATACGTGGCAACACCGCATTGCGCTGAATTTTCCAAAGAAATATAAACAATCCAACAACTGAGTATCAACATGCTACATAACCCCAAACAAAGACGAGGCCAGAAGAGATGCTCAAACTTTTGCAAAAAACGGAATTATTATGCATCTTAGCGACAATTTTGCATGTGGAGTTATGAATTGTTGATACCTAAAACACGATTTAGCAGCAAATAGCACCGGACAATATCATTTTCGTGCATAAATAATTGGTTTTGGAAACTCAAATTTCAAAACTTCGTGAGTGTTTTTTGGCTTCATTTATGGACCCTCCAGGAAAAATTTTCACTGAGAGTGCTTAATTTGAAGTGATCTTTAAGGTAAGAATAGAGAAAACTAGAAACTTCGAGAACCACAACCGACACCATCACCAGAATTACTATCTATTTTATATTAAATGGTTGTAATAAATTATTTGTTTCTATGAAAAGGCTAAGGAAGTGGTAATGATAGTACCATCATGGTGACCGTTGTTTTGTTTTGGAAATTGGTGGATTTCAGAGAGTGAAAAATGATGGAAAACGGCATTCGGTCGAAAAATGTTTGTTTCGAGATTTTCTATAATGTGAGCATAGTCTTAATCGGCAAATCAGCAGTCCTGGCATAACAGTGTGTTGTACAGAATTACCTTCAGATAATTTAAATATAATTATTTTGGGATTGATTAATTACCTCGTAAAATCTATCTCGTAAATATTGGCATCAGGATCACACAGGTACCTATCAGTGATGTTCGATAATCGCAGGACTTCATCGGGGGTGATGACAGTGTTATTTTGGGTCGCAGATAAGGGCTTTGATATGTTCTCTCGGCTTTCCCTAAGAACACTCATATCTTATTGTAGCAACTTATGCGACTCCAACTGTGGTCTAACTGCTTGTGATTGCAAATAATGAAATTCGATTTCACTTAATCACATCGACGGAAACACACTAATTGGCCTGACTACCCGTTTTCATTTGTCACATATAAGTACATATATGCTATTACACTTGCCTATGTAACTCGCGTCAGTGCTCAGAAACATAGACAAACGTCTGGATAAACACAGAAATGATCAGAAAATTAGTAAGTTAAAAAATGGCCGCCACAAACATCAAAGGTGCATCCGAATTTGCGCTCATTTCAACTTTCTCACTTCCACACATACAAGTTCCAAAAGATATTGATTCTAGCGTCAGTGACGTCCCGTAACTTCAGTTAGCATAGTGATCTGTGATAATCAATAATGAGAGTATGTAGTCTGTAGTGATAATAATTTCCAATGTGCTTTCTCATGATACACATATAAGTTTAAAGATAATATAAAGTGTGACATTTCAGGCGCGCTATTCAACGAATTCTCGACTTGCACTAGGCATTCAAAAACTTTAACGTATTTAAATTATATCTTTTTGCAAAATAATGTATTTGCTAATAAAGAAAGCATAGCAAGCAAAGCAATGTTTTACATGCACTATAGAAAATATGATTAAAGTTGTCTTGCCCACTTTAAATTAATTACATAGTTTTTGCAATTTTAGACTGCTAATATAGCTCTGATTTCAGTAATATTTCTGACTTAAAATCCTTTTATTTGATTTAATTAAAAAGCCATCAAAAACTTTTTCCATTGCTGATATAAATAGCTCTTAATTTATATTTTTTACTTGTGAAAGACGCACTGTGCAATATTTGCTAAAAATATCGATTGCCTGAAAAATTGACAGGAAAATAAATTACTTGCACGAAAGTTGTTTCGTTTTCTATAGATCGTCTATCATAGGCCCGAATATTTACCGAATTGGTTCAACTGGGGGTTCAACTGTTTCATAAATGTGAAAATCTGGTACAAATAATAAGTTATCGAGTATGATCAGATTATATTGACAAAAACACTTGTTCTGTATGTTTGTATGTTTTGAATCATTGGTATGATTACATTATAATAACATCATTGTCTTTCGAGAACCAAACGACTTTTTTACATTTTCAAGAAACCGTTTTGAGCTATTTTATTAGGAATATTGTAGTTTAAATTAAATATGTTGTTTCCATATAAGAAAACTTTTGAAATTGAAAAATTTTAAATATTTGACTAGTATGTAGACCTATATAAATATACAAAAATATTTCTAGTTGTTTTTCACATTGTGTCAATTGCATATTGTAAAGCAATTCATCAGTTATTCCAACGCAAAATGTTTCCATTCCAGCCTATGTAATTGCAAGAACGTTGCATTACTTAAAAACAAGTCATATATTTTATTTAATTCCTAATTAAAACAATTATATGAGAAGTCCCTGTATACAGAAGACAATCAAGTATTCTGTCATCATAAATCAAAAAGTTGACAATCCGCACTAAATGACACTTTCTTTTTTCTCATACCATCTTAAATGTCATATTTTATGCATTTGTCTAATAAATTATACTATTTGAAAATAATATTTCACGCTGTTGCGGAAAGACATGGCTGTTATTTTTAGAAACAATAAAAACGAGACTTGTGCAGGATTTTAATAAAATGTCTCATTGGGTCTACAAAAGATCGGTTCTACGAAGTACTACAGATAATTTTTGTAAAACAGAAATCGGCATTGGAACTACAGCAAAACATCTGAAGGACTTACTTGATTCAAAGCTGTAGTGTGTACGTACAATAAAAATTAACAAGGTGAGAAACTAACTAAATTAGTCTGTTCGGGAATAGTCCTTTTGTGTTAGAAAAACTCTAATTCAGTTAGACACGTGGATTTGCTGAAATAAATCTGCTTTCAAGTTTTTTCGGTTCTGTTGACACACTTGGGAGATTTACTTTAGATTTCGAAGTTTTTGCGAGGAATATTCCGTCGAGAAAAATATACGGGCATAATGCGCAGGTTATTAAATACACAGAAGGAAGGATTTGTATTCACCCAAAGCAACATGTCATAGGGGAGCATGCAAACTTTTTACTACAACAGCAGCCGCATTAATTTAAACAAAACTGAAATTTGTTTTTTTTGTGCAAAATATTTCCTGCAACACAAGCATAATATGATAATCAACACTAGAGGGTAAACTGCTTTGAATGCAACCTGAGCAATATTTTTTGGTTTGACTTCGAATTATTCATGCCCATTACGAAAACCTCTCTTTCATAAACCGCATGGTTTTCATAATAAGGTGTTGCAAACTGTCGTCTCCTATTTTCTTTCGGAAAATGGTTTTGCTTATCTATACCTAGGAGCCCCAAATCACAAGTGATTGTGTTGAGTATTAAACTTGTTTTCCTCTTTTTTCTTTTACTACTGTCATAGGGGATGATCAAAATGCTTAGAGAAATAAATGTGTTAAATTAAGCCAAAAAACTCCCCCTTGCTCGGAAGTCGGTAAACAGCTTCTTTGTATCGAGGATGTAAATTGCTAAAAACTGAATGCTAACCATTTCATTACTGCTTGGCTTAATTATTTTTTGTGCATGTGAAGACAAAGCAACACATTCCTCAAGACATATGTCATAACCATGCCATGTTAGACTCATACATCTTTTAGCACCCTTAAAAACGATGACATCTGAGGCTGACCTGTTATTTATGGGAGAGAAAATAATGACCTATATGAGGCGTTGAAGTTAATTACTCAGGGGTGGCATGACTAAAACCGCACAATACGCAGTCTTGATGGATTGTTCGACCTTTGCGTAATCTAATATTTGTCGCTCTCTGTTCTCCTCCATTGGTCGAGTGGAGTAGGAGAGCCACTTGCAAAGGCTTTTTGTTTTCAGTATGTAGTTAGTTAGGTTTTATCATTTCAGCTAGGATACATGGCTTATACAACAATCACGTCAATCGGAAAATGCCCCTCACAGGGGAATTTGAATTCTACTGTTGTCCCTCTTTATTTTATATGTGTCAATGTTTCGAATGGGAGAGACCTTAGGGAAGCGTAAGCAAAGTACTTACTTCCATAATTTACAATGGGTCGAATCAGTTCCACCTACTTCATCGATTTAACTAATGTTTCCTGCTTCGAAACAATCGGTATCGCATTGTATTGTGTTTCCTCTGGCTGGACTTGATTCATTTACAAACAGGTCAAATATTTAAGCTTGTACATAACAAGCTTAATCTGCAAAATATGTGGATCGCCAATAAATGTCCCCATATTTATTTATACATTTATCAGCTCGCTTGCACAGCACTGATCTTCAACCGAACAAATAAAATAAATTATAATCGGATATCTCGGCTTGACCACATCTCGACTGCTTGGGGCGACGTTGGGTCTTAAATACTTCACCAAAGGGCTTGATGATTTCCAGGAGTTTCGTTTTCTAGCTGAAATACTACATAGCAACGAGTTAAGCCTGTAAAATACCCACGGAGATTATGTGTATATATCTAATATAACATTATATTTTTTCATACTTCAGTTAAAAAACAAACTTGTACCGGAACATATTAAATTAACAATTTGTTTACATTGCCAAAATTAAGGAATATAAGGAGTTTTTGATTGGAGGAAAGACAAGTAGCCACTATATGGCGTCTGTTTTAGAAGGAAGCTTGTTTTTTAAACTTTAATTTTATCACATTTTAAAAACACTGGTGATTGTTCCGGTTCCTATTTTAGCTCATTTCAGCATTAATGCTTGGCCATTCGAAGCTTCCATATTATTCAGAGTTCTCAGGTTCACCGAGCAAATAGCTTCCTGTGCTGAGAGAGATGGACCGGGTCTTTTTAAGATAAATGATCTTTACTCTCAAACCTTACCAAAACCTTAAAAGGATATTTTAGGTCGACACACCGTTTCGACGTATTGCAAAAACACATTGAATTGGCTTTCAGGGATAATGGAGTACGGAATGTATTATTCTGAGACGGGCCATACATTTACAAACTAATGCAAATAATTGACATACAAGTTTTGGACAGTTTTCAGTAAAAAACCGTAGATAATGTTAGAAAACATTCGCTTTAAGTAAAGTTCGTATTTTCGGTTCCCACTGAATAACAAATAAGTAGATGTTTTTTTTACTACTAACAAAATTAAGTTATCTATTTTTGAATCAAACATGAATCATGTGATGTGTACAAGTAGATATGTATAGCCCAGATAGCATTTGATATTCTATGAATATCCCAGAATGTTCAAAAAATAAACAGAACATTGCGGGAATATCCTGGGAATATACATAGGTGAACATTCCTAACATGAATGTTCGTGAAATATACATGCATGTATATTCATCAAAGTTCATAAAAAGTGTATATGCTAGGTATGTACATATATGTACATATTGGGTATATGTGCAGATGAACATGCTAGGTATGTACATATTGTGTATATGTGCAGGTGAATATTCCTAGTATGTTCAAAACAAATATTCCGGTAATATACATGATCTACGGTATATTCCAAATTGGTTAAATATAAACTTTGCGTGCCCGCAGCAGAAAAGTAAGGGCATGTAAAAGTAAATCTTCTTACTACTAAAACCTTAGACCCTTATGAAATACTGAAAATATGGTGTTTTGATTAACAAATCAACAAAATTTATCGAAAATAAATTTTGCGGGTCCGCAGCAGAAAATAAGGGCACGTACAAGTACAAGAGTTAATATGAACTTTTCTTTTTAAATGCGTCAACGTTATAAATTTATTGGGCAATATTAATAAAATTTCTATATTACTCAAATAAATTTATCCGGAGCTAATAGTTTCCACCCTATGAAATTCAAACAATGCATATAACACATTCAAATTATCTGAACCTAATTATTCGTCTATTAATGTAAAACTATTATCTGTATTTTTTTATTTTTACCAGTTTAATTTTGGTAGCTTTCTATTTTGCGATTAGCATGTTTTCTTGGATCGAAGGAAAGCAACAAAAGTAAAATGAAAGTAATGTATCAATGCAAATTGCTATACCTAACTGTATTTCTACACAATAGAATAATCTGTGGATGAACGAAAATACTCTTCTATCAATGTAAAACTATTAACTGTATTTTGTTGTTGTGACCAATATTAAAATTTGTAATTGCTTATAGAATTTTTGTTAAGAGTATATTGCGAAACACTTTAATTGATCGAGAACAAAATGAAAGGGCAAAAGCGACAGAGCGGGAACATGTAAGGAATATAAAATAATAAGTGCAGTTTTTTAGATAAAGGTTTGTGTTTTATCTCACAGTCACACATCATTGCGACAAC